ATAGGAAATGTATGAAAGTGACCGAAAGTCCCCTTCTGTGGGAATAGGCTACGTATGGGTACTCTAACAAAAGAAGTAATGTACAACAAATTACATCCATGTAAAAATATTGTATATATAAATAATAACTTAATTGTGTCATCTCCGTTTTTTTAATGATTTGCATTGCCTTTTTATAAAACAAACACACAACAATGTTTTTATTTAGATTCATGTAGGCCCCCAGGGGCCTAGTCCAAGCCCAGGTTCCTATAAACGAAGCTCTCAAAATTGAGAGTGTGATTCTCTTTTTTATATTATAGTTTTTTAGGCTATCGGCTGCGCACACCAACTACCCCCATTCCCCCCCCCGCCCCACAAAAAAAAACTTTCCCGCTATAGGATTATGTGTACCAGGTGAACTAAAAAATGATGAACAATAAATAAATACTGTAAAATCTTCTCGTCACTTTAAAAATTTGTCCATATTTGTTCTTAATAAATAGATAATTCACATGAATCTGATAGGCCTACTAACAGAGGACCCGACTTGGGTCCTCTGCGTCAGTGTCGTAGTGTAGAGTATAGGACTAATAATATGAATATCTTAATTCTTTGTGTTTTATGAAATGTTTGTTTTGCTTACCGTACCTGCTACTTTTCGCTCTATTTCATTTAATCAAAGATTATTGTAGAAAATCGAGTTCATACACCCATGGCCATCCAACAGTTACAGTATAGCTTATAGACTTTGCCCTAATATGTTTATTACAAAGAAGGAATCCTAATAGGCTTACTGTATATCAAGTTAAACAAGAATAACCCCAAATCACGTGACAGGACTAGCCAATTATATTCTGCGTGTTTATGAATATCCGTTTTACAGGTTATTAGAGTGTCTACCTCACATCGTTTCATTATTTCACCCTCTATTACCATACACGGAGCTCTCGAAGAATTCATTAAACACCATGGAGTATATGCCTGAAAAAGAGTGAGTATGAAAGTATATTTTCATATTAAGATAAACAAAAGAACAAACAATTAGTTTATTAAGTGATTACTAATTATAGGGAAACTCGCATTATGCGCTCATGCGATTTTAGTCGCCCACTAAATGCAGAAATCACTTGTTTTTTTTCCAACGATTTTTGGTGGATTTTTGGGTACCTATGCCCTTCCTGCCCCCACATGCGCATGTACTCCTGGATGCACTTAAAGTAATTATGCTGTTAAGGAACACCATATTAATTACATCAATGACTAAAAATAATGTAATAAAAAAATGTAATGTTCCTGCTTCTTGCGCTTTAGACCCCGGTTCAAATCCGGCCAACGTCTGGTTCTAATTGGAGTCGGATCGCTCTGTCCTCAAATAACCCTCGCATGAGATTTAGACGGTATAAGGAACAATGTACCCGTTATAACGTCGGTTAATTGGCGCTACACTGTGGCTGCCGCTGTTCCTCAGGGGCAAAGCAAAATTTCAAATTTTTTGTAACTGGACAATAAAAGACATTTTTTATTTATTTATTTTAATTATAATCAATAACAGACAAGTATTGATATTTTCATTTTGATGGAAATTATGTATTTTAGACAAATTGCGTATAATAATAAAAATAATGTATGGTAATAAAAAACATTTGAATAAAATAAGTTTTAAAAACCCCGAGCAGTGCTGACAGACGCTAAAATTATTTATGATATTAATAAGCATGAAGTTGTATAATAGTGACAAACATTTAAATTTTGTTAACCTTATTTTATGTTTCAATAAGAAAAAAAAAGAACAATAAATAATCCGTGGTGATTATTCAAATAACTATGGTAAAGTAATCTCGGGATTTCGAAGCATGACACAATTATGTCAAATTTATTCATGAACATGAAAAGTTGAGATTATGTTAACGGTTATGAATGATAACCTACCATGATGATGGTTTTGATGATGATGATATTGATGATGATGATGATGATAAATTCAACAGAGAAATATCAAGGTTCTCTCTACGCCTCGGTGAAGAGATGCAATTTTAAAGTTTCTTTCAACAAATTTAAAGATCTAATGTGTTTGACGGAGCAAGGAAAAACGTTCCAAAGACGCGGAGCAGCAATGCTAAAATCTCTATCCCCGTAAGAGTGATATGACTTTGCAGTTGATGTAGAAATAGTTTGTCACAAGAGCGCAAGTTCCGCCAATGTCAGCAACATAGTCGGGAGCCAAACCATTCATACATTTAAAAACAATTAATAATTTTAAGAACAATGCAGTGCCAATGTAATGCTTTCATAGTATTTGTTATATATGAGTTCTTGGATGGCTTGGTAACTACACGTGCAGCAGCATTTTGAATAAGTTGAAATCGTTGGATTTGTTTTTGATAATAATATAATTATATCAAAGTAAACCAAACAACCAATGATGAATGTTAATTATTATTTTACAGAAACCAGTTAGTACCAGCTATCTGGGAAAAGAACTGGGAAGCAGTTATAAGCTTTTTGCAAACGGAACCACAATTGGTTAATACTTACGATGAGGTACGTACTAAGTAATGCCTTAGGAACCACACTTGTCGAGATAATGTTGATGAATTATCGAAAACTCGAAGTCGACAAAATTATTTTATTAAAATTACGTTCAAACTCGAACAATAGAATTGTTCACAATCCACTCGCGTTAAACTTTTACTTTTAAATGTTCGCAATGGGTATTGGATATAGGAAAATAATAATATTACAATCTATCTGCAATAAGCCTTTAGTTTTCAAAGGTTTATAAATTGGCCTATATAGATATAGCCTAATAATAATTATTGCATATAGTATTGGATCCTGCGTATTTCTTTTGAACTATTATCAATATTATATTCAAAGTTCATAAACAATAATTTATATGTCGGATGTTCAACGCATACGTAATTGTTTTTATATAAAAGTGACTTACCATATCATAGATAGTGTTACGATATTATTGCAATAGCAATATGTCCACATAATTAAAATGCCGCCTCTTCGACGCGTAGGCCTACCTAGTTTTACACTTTTATATAACCGTTAATTACAATATCATAAATAGTAATATTTTTCACAATAATATAATACTAAGTCCAAATACAGGTTATTTAGCGCGTGTGTAAGTATATATTTGTATATGGTGAACTCTAGGTATTGAACAAAGAGAGCATAGCATAGAAAAATGTTATACTGTAAAACGTAACGAAACAAGAGGAACGATGTACGATAATTTATGTGGTAGTCGTCAAACTCTCGTCAAACAATCAATAAAGAATTATAAAATAATGTAGGCCTTTAATCTACTGGAGAACCAGAAGAAAAACCGTAAGTCAATGAGTATTTTCATTAGATTAAATTAAATGAATATGGCAATACATTCGTACGATGTTAATGACCACGGAGCAATACTTACACAAAAAATAAAACAAGAAATCACCAAATTAGGAAAGATTTAGAAGGTTACGTCTAGATAAAAGATATTTTTAAAAAAATCCATTTTTTAATATGAATGATATGGAAACAAATTGACAAAAGCGTAATGTCGGAAAAAGACGGAAAACTTTGAAAAAACAGTTATACTACTGCAATTACAATGTACTGTACTGTATTATTGAAACGCTGTCGCTAAATTCCCTGATAAGTAAAAAAATTGATCTAGTTTATTAGGCTTAGAAATACAAAACAGTCTCGGATAGCTTTTAGACTAGTAAAAAAAAATTTAAAAGAAGCCTAGAAATCAAGTTAGGGAGAGTGGAATGTTAGAAGCAGTCAACATAGCCAGATATCCTAATTAATCCCTTCTGATCACCCTAAGCGCTGTTGACACTTGATTTTTTGTCTAGTATACAAATGGCGGCCATTTTTCAAAATGGCCGCCAAATTTATCTAAATGTGCAAATAATCCGGGAAATTAAAGCTACAGATATGATTTTGGTGTCTAAACTCGTAATTTCTATACAGGCAACAAACCAGACATATAAAATAACCGCAAAATATACTTAAAATTTGCATAAAACAAGAATAAGTATAAAAAAACTCACCAAAAGTAGTAATATTTTTCATAATAATATAATACTAAGTCCAAATACCGGTTATTTATGTGATATAGTCGCTAAATTCCCTGATAGGTAAAAAATTGATCTGGCGCCCTCTATAGCTTATTAAGCTTAGCAATACAAATGTACCGATAGCTTTGCACCATGAGTGTTACTCCAACTGCTGTATAAAGAACACATGACCGCCAGATACTGTTGAACGTAAATCACTCCTTTCTGTTTAAATTATCGGAACTATTCATAATTAATTTAATACGTACTTTAAATTAAAGTGAAGTAAAGTGGAAAATAAAGGGAATTTTGAATTTAATTCTGTAGATAGCGTACACTGGGTTTAAACCAAACAATATTAGGTAGCGTATATATTAAATCGTAATTATCAGAATAGTATGATTTTTCTGACTACAATATGACTGCTCCCGGCATGTGATTATAAGTATTTAAACGTCAATTATAAATTAAAATATTTTATTAATTCTATAATATTCATAGTTTATGACCTAAATGTACTTATAATAATCTAATAATATAAATATAAATATTATATCCACAAACAATAGAGGGATTCAGGGACAAGTTTTAACAGATGAAGGGTCCAGACCAGCTCCGCCATGATTTCTGGTTCTTGTTAGGCCTACCGGGTATTTTGGGGCTGAGGTACTATGTTGTAAGGCAACATCGCCTATTTTGAATGAAATTTTTTTAATTTTATTTTGTGGAAATTAAAAAAAATCATAGGATTACAGACCTAGTATACATCTGAACGAATTTCCGCCTTGCCCCCTTTTCCGCCTTGCCCCCTTCTCCGCCCGCCCATCTGAAATGAATTCTAGTTTTCTTGGAACGGTTCACTACGGAAGCTTAAAGTGACCTTCCGAGTTTCCGAGTTTCCAAGATAATTATCTTGGAAACATGGAATAAACACTTATTAAGACGTCTTTCCGAGATAATTTATCTCGGAAAGACGTCTTTCCGAGATAAA